GCTAAAGTGGTGTCTCAGGTTAAGAACAGTTTCAGGTTAAGAATGGACCTCCGGAACGAATTAAGTTCTTAACCCGAGGTACCACTGTATAAGCTCTTCTACACCTTAGCAACAAAATGACACCTCATTTGGGCTTAACTGCAGATAGGCAGGTGTGGTATCGCCTTGGTTCAGAAAGTGCCCGTTTGTCTTTCCTTTGCCATTTTTCACACTTGATTTAAACACAGTAACATATGCTTTTAAGTCATTTCCCCAGATGTAGAGATGCAACTCAGCTGCATTAAAAAAAAAGAACTAGTTGATTTTGCTGCATTTTTCTTTGTAAGTTCTGGGAGCAGTTTTTAAAGGCTGGAATATATCAAGGTAGGCCAGCTATTAGACTGCTCCTCTCCCACAGCTAAAGAAAGCCAATTGATCACTGCAAGAACTATAAAGCTGCCTGTGGCTGCTCAGTTTTGGCCGTGGCTGTTTTTCTTAAGTATGGCAGCTCCTTCCTAATTCAGAAAAAGGCAGCGGGGGTTGTTGATCAATGCCGTGAGCTGCTCATTTTGAAAACGGCTATTGTTCCACGAGCATTTCTGTGGTGGTCAGCCAGCCCTTCTCCCCTGCTACACATGCGATTTTATTGATTTTTGACTTTTGCAATGTAACATGTAACTGCACTACTTAGAGCTGAATTTTGAGGATTTCAAATGACTGGGGGGTGGGGTGGATGTAGAGAAAAGGACCCATTTTACGCATTTGGGGCCATTAGTCTTCCGTTCAACAGAGTCCTCTGGTTGCAGCAATAAGGATCAGAAGGCAGTCAAGGCATGCTCAGTTTGAGTGACCTTGTGAGCCTTTAACATGTTTACCACATAATCAGCAGGGAATTCCATTTTCAAAATACAAGACTTCATAATCCATTAGCAACAGAGATTGGCCCAGAGCACTGGATTTTCTGATCACGTGCATCGAGGAATAAAAAAATATTAGTATGCAGCAGCCAGATTAATCTTCAGCCCTGGAAAAAATCTCCTCCCTCCCCCTGCCCTCCCCCACTTCACCACTTCCAAGTACCAAACAGCCATACATACAGTAGCTTCATTCAGTTTCAAGCCTGCACATTTTTATCACATCCAAAGCCCATAGGAAAGCTCCTTTGCAGAAAAACCGCCAGGGCGGAGGGGGAGGAGGAGAAGGAGAGAATGCTATTCAGCTAACTGCTCTACAAAGGTAAGTATTGCATAACAACCAACTCCCCCTTCTAGGTTTGTCTGTTGGTTATATAATTGCGAGGCATGAATACAGATGTTCATTTTAATGCAAGAAGAGAATCGTCTCCCATTCGCAGTGTCACCACTCCCTTTCCTTTCATTAAAAACAGAATTGCAAAATGTATATTAAAAAACAAATATCTCCCTGCTAAACAACCGCTCCCCCCAAATACACACCCAATTCTATAATCAAGGCCTTGGGTGAGATTAAAAAGCAAGCAAAGTAGTTTAGCTCACAGTCAAGTCCAATAAATCAGAGAAAAGATTCAAGTCGAGAGCATTTCAAAACGTAACCTTGGCAACGCAGAAAAATGCTCCAACAGAACTTAGGCTCGTTTTGCTTTATTCGTCGTTTCTGAGACTGGAACTGTAAAGAAGAGGAAGATGATGCAGCAAGAAAGTCGGCGGCAACAAGCTGCAGATCCAGGGGCTTCAAAGGGGACAAGGCTCCCTATAGCGAAAGTTCTTCAGACCCTCAGAATCTGACACTAAGTACAGCTGACCACATGAAAACAATTCAGCGTCTTGTTTTTGTAAAAAGATATGTAGCCCATGTTGCCTTTAAAAAGGTGTAAGGAAAGTAACACATTTAGAATACGATAAAAATACCCAATTTATATAAAAGCCTGAAACATGTAACAAGTTTTTAAAAATTAATTGGGTTGTATGCTACGAAAGTACTGTATTTTTCGCTCTATAGGCCGCACCAGACCACAAGTTTTTGGAGGAGGAAAACAAGAAAAAAAATATTCTGAATCTCAAAAGCCAGAACAGCAAGAGGGATTGCTGCGCAGTGAAAGCAGCAATCCCTCTTGCTGTTCTGGCTTCTGGGATAGCTGCGCAACCTGCATTCGCTCCATAAGATGCACACACATCTCCCCTTACTTTTTAGGAGGGAAAAAGTGAGTCTTATAGAGCAAAAAATACGGTAATTGCACGAGTGGAGTGCTTCTGTTCATGCAATGGAATTCTGCTCCTTTTTCTGTCTCCCCTCTTTGATGCGCTCCCCAAAATATAAAGTACTTTCCCGTGTGTAAGACGAGGTTTTTGAATTATAATGTGAAAAACTGGGGGCTGTTTTATACACGGATAGTGCATAGGGTGGACTAGGGATTGGTTGGTGCGGCGAGCAGGAGATTGTCAGAAGTGATTGGGTGGGAGATTGGTGGCTGCGTCAAGGGTTGGTGTCAATTGGCTGTCGCTGCGGCAATTGGGCAGGTGATTGGTGGCTGCCGGCGGCGAGCAGACCGATGATAGGTTGCTTTGATGAAGCGTGTGGGTGAGCGATTTTTGGCAATCCCTCCCCCAAAAAGCTCAACAACCCTGGGCAATCTTCCCCCCCCCCGCCCAAAAAAGCTGAACAAGTCTGAGCAACCCCCCCCCCTTTTCTTAATTTGGAGTCCCCAAAAATAGGGGGCGTGTTATACACGGAAAAAATACTCTGGGGGCTCCCTCTGGAGCAGATTTGGTGGGTACAGAGGCACGTGAGGGGAGGAAAGAGTGAGCAAGTTGCATTGTGGGAACATAGGTCATTCTGTTTGTGCAAGTAATATGGCTGCATTCAGGTGTGGGGCTTTATTGTAATAGGGTTGTTGTTTTTTTGTTATAACATTCCTTCTACATTGCAGTACCTGTTGCATTACGGAACGGTGCTGTCAGGGGCTCAGGAGCAGAGGTGCAGGGGAGAGAGGAAATGGAGAGCGAAGGGGAAGAATCTGAGGGCAGCGGAGGGCAGAATGACAGTGACCCGAGAGATTCCATGAGCCTCTCCAGTGAATCAGAAGATTCCCAGAAGGGGGCGCCGATGGCCAGGGCAAGGGGGGTCCCAGGGGGTACACACCAGAAACAGGGGGCCAGCGGAGACTCCCAGAGCAGTAGCTGGAAATCAGGGCCAGCTTCCCCACCGGAGCGTAGTGGGGGGGAAGAGTCTCATAGGTCAGAGTCAGCGTCTCCTCCGGCAAGCAGCGACAGGAGCAGTATAACGGTCAGAAGGAAGGTGGCAGGCTGGGCGCGCGCGCCAAGTTCAAATGTACAGGCGCGCGGGACAGCAGAAAGCCCGGATTGGGAACCAGGTCCTAAAGCCCGCCGGAGGGAGGGGGAAGACTCGGAGGAGTCAGCGTCAGAAGAGTCCAGAAAGGGGAAAACCCCGGCGGACAGGCGGACCCAGAGGAAAAGGGAGCAGAGGAAGAGGTGGAGCAAGGCTAGGGTCTTAAACTGGTGTCTGGGGGGAGGAGACTCAGACGGAGCTTCGAAGGTCTAGGGTTTCAGACGTAGGGCTGCGCGCCACGGCTGTCAAACCAATAACGAACTTCAATAAAGACTTCTGTATATAAAGAGGAACTGGCGTTGGTCCTTTGTAAGCTGGGACCAGGGGCAGCTCTGACAGGTGCCTTTTAAATCAATATACAGTGGTACATTGGTTTACAAACACCTCGGGTTACAAACGCTTTGGGTTACAAACTCCGCTAACCCGGAAGTGGTACCTCAGGTTACAAACTTTGCCCCAGGATGAGAACGGAAATAGCGTGCCGGCAGCGCAGCGGCAGGCCCCATTAGTGAAAACGCACCTCAGGGTAAGAATGGTTTCGGGTTAAGAACGGACCTCCGGAATGAATTAAGTTTGTAACCCAAGGTACCACTGTACTACCACATCACGCTGAATTTTAAAGGGCAGGAAAGAACTGTATGCCAGGATACCACCCCAAGCTGTGTCACATGAGCAGCAGATCATGAAAACCATGGGAAAGTTACAACACAAAACTCCTGAATTTTTCTGAGTTGACGAGGTTGCAAACGGATTTGTCTTTTTCTGGAAACAATTAAAACAGAGATGAGCACTAAACCTATGCTAGATTCTGCAGCATTTCCAGAAGTGGCTTTTAAGCTGTGTGAAAGATCACATAAAACATGAACATTAGCAGGTAAGGAAACGTCAGGAAGATGGACTAAAGTTTAACACCAACTCCGTAAAAACTGGTCTGTCAAGAGAAAGGCGATACAAGGCTTTGCTAAAGAGTCAGGATTAGGTATTGAGAAGCTTCCAATTTGCAGGGCAGTGATCCTGCCTTTATAAAAAAAAAAATCTGTTCAAAGTGAAGGGCCCTCCACAGATATCCAAGTATACTGAGGGAGAAAGTAACCAAATTGTTGGTTTGGGGTGAAAGGCGGCTTTTGAGTCAAAGGCAGCTTTTAGCTCAAAACCAACGTTTTTCATATTGTTAACAGGAACTTATGAAGCTCCCTTCATTGATCCACATTCACCATGGAACATTTGAAGCTGCCAAATATTGGACCAGGTAATTGTTCAATCTAGCCCACTGTCATCAGTAGAATTCCATAGTTTAAAGCAAAGGTCCTTCTCATCACCTGCTACTTGATCTTTTAAACAGGTGATGTCAGGGATTTAATTTGGGACTTCCTATAGGCAAACCATAGGAAGAGTCGGACACGACTAAACGACTATACAACATAGGCAAACCATGTGCTTTAACCACTAGGCTGTTGCTCCCTAATTTCTTAACCTTCTCCATCCAAGCACTCTGTGCAACTGGTGACAAAGCAAATCCAGCATTTTCTCAACCACCACCGGAAGCAAGCATCTCCTCCTAGTAAGAAAATTAAACCAAAAAAAACCAGGTCTCCACACAGCAGCCCCATTGGCTGTCATCAAAAAGTTAGCACAAAAGGTTGTTTGCTTTTAGTTTTATTATACTAAATTCACTAGATGAATAGTTAGTGACTTACAAGGCACAGCGTGGCGATAAAGGTTATCTCTAATAGTCTGTTGCAGCTCGTGATCTGGAGATCCTTTCTGAAACCTCTGGTTGAGATAATGTCTCAGATCTTTGTTCAGACGACTTCCTGCAAGAAAAAGAAAGAAATCACAAATTGAGCAGAGAAGGGATTAACATTGCCAGCTCTAGCTAACATTAGACATGCAATCTGCAGTTCCTCTGAATTATGGTATGCTGCTTTCATGTGCATTTTCTGTAAATGGCTAATTACCAAAAATAACTTGCTGCAAACATGAAATCTCCCTGGCTTTACAACCCTTCTTCCTTCCTGCTGGTGCTAAAGGGATTATCACCCTCTCTCCTGGCAATAGCACATGTTTTTTCTGCACTGGGAGAAAAATGACATAGACAAAATGATGATGGGGGAAAATATTTTAAATATTTCTTCTTCTACACAGCCCAAGGCTTGGGTAAAAAGGAAGGCTGGACACACAAATTAGCATAGCAGAGCTGCCTGGTCTTTAGTTGGGAAATACTCAAATAAACTAACACTAGCAACCTCCTTAGCAACTAGGTCTGGGTAAAGTCTAAATATCCACTGCTGTAACTTAGACAGGCCTCCGGGTTTCAAATCCTAGATGGGTGTTTCCCAAACTTGGGTCTCCAGCTGTTTTTGGACTACAACTCCCATCATCCCAGGCTAGCAGGACCAGTGGTCAGGGATGATAGGAACTGTAGTCCAAAAACTGCCTGAGACACAAGGTTGGGACTGTCCTACATGATAAGCAGACATTAAGCCAGAGTTCCCCATTTGAGACAAAACTCTGGTGTAAATGAACCAAGAACAAAGCACCAAAACCAGCACACAAATGAATAAGGAAAGAGGAAAGGCAAAGGTGTACACAAAGGTGTACACTAAACCACTAAGTTCCACTCAGGGAGACCTACTGAAATCAATGACCCTAGTTTAGTCATGTTCATTAATTTCAGTGGGTCTAAACTTAGCTGAAGGGACGCGGGTGGCGCTGTGGGTAAAAGCCTCAGCGCCTAGGGCTTGCCGACCGAAAGGTCGGCGGTTCGAATCCCCGCGGCGGGGTGCGCTCCCGCTGCTCAGTCCCAGCGCCTGCCAACCTAGCAGTTCAAAAGCACCCCCGGGTGCAAGTAGATAAATAGGGACCGCTTACTAGCGGGAAGGTAAACAGCGTTTCCGTGTGCGGCTCTGGCTCGCCAGAGCAGCGATGTCACACTGGCCACGTGACCCGGAAGTGTCTCTGGACAGCGCTGGCCCCCGGCCTCTTGAGTGAGATGGGCGCACAACCCTAGAGTCTGTCAAGACTGGCCCGTACGGGCAGGGGTACCTTTACCTTTACCTTTAAACTTAGCTGAATACAACACATTATGACCAAATCTACCCCGTGGGTTTAAACCGTAACATTTCTAGTGAAAGTTTGAAAGATTACAAGCTGAAGAAATTGGCTACGCTTCCTAACAAGTCGTTTCCAACACCAGTCTGCTAAACTAATAGCAGCCTGCACATATTAACGGTACCTTAACCAGGCAATGGGTTTCTTGATTTAATAGTCCCCAATATCTAAGCTGCAATTGCATCTCGGTTTTTCTGGTGACCAAGAAGGATGTATAGGTTTCTTTTAAGTCAAATATATTACAGTGTCATGAGATGTTTGTACAAGTAGGTGAAATATTCAAAGGCGAAACTGTGCAGTATCAGCACACACAATTTATGCAGGATATAAATCACATATAGCTTCTTCTTCTATGTTCATAATCATATACATCAATAAATGTACTCATTAGTTATTTTGGTCATAGACCAGCAGGGACTTAATGTGCTGTAGTTAAAAATATGAATTTGAAACACTTAATTAAAAAAAAAAAATCAAGGATCTTCTAAGTTTTTCTATAGGAACAGAACTCCATTAGAGACTTCCAGGACTAATCACTGTTCTGGGATTTGCGAAAGAGACATTTTTATTAGTCCTGTTGAATTCCCACTAATGAGCTCCTAGCAGGGCATGGGATCAGTCAATCCCCCCCCCAAAAAAAGGGGGAGGGGGAACAATTAAGCAACACTTCTCTTTGTCACATACTCATCTATTTTTACACTTCCGAGAGTCCCACAAGGGCCCAGCAAATTCATTCTCCAGGCACGCAAAATAATTAAGCTGAAATGAAATTGTTCCACTAATGCAAACTCCCACAGGATTTAAGATACCTTTGCAAATCCCACCGCCACCCCCATTCCAGTTTTACTGTACGTGCTCCAAGAGTTTTCCAGTGGAAATAAGTTCATTTGCTTTGCCTTAAATGGAACGGGGTGCCCTTCCACCCCCCCGTCACAGCCACATGGGAGCTACCTTTCACAGAATTGTAGAGTTGGAAGGGACCATGAGGATTTTCTAGTCCAGGGTTTCCCAGAGTTGGGTCTCCAGCTGTTTGGGGGGGGGACTACAATTCCCATCACCTTGCTGACAAAGGTCTGTATAGTTAAAGCTATGGTTTTCCCAGTAGTGATATATGGAAGTGAGAGCTGGACCATCAAGAAGGCTGATCGCCGAAAAATTGATGCTTTTGAATTATGGTGCTGGAGGAGACTCTTGAGAGTCCCATGGACTGCAAGAAGATCAAACCTCTCCATTCTGAAGGAAATCAGCCCTGAGTGCTCACTGGAAGGACAGATTGTGAAGCTGAGGCTCCAATACTTTGGCCACCTCATGAGAAGAGAAGACTCTCTGGAAAAGACCCTGATGTTGGGAAAGATTGAGGGCACAAGGAGAAGGGGACGACAGAGGACGAGATGGTTGGACAGTGTTCTCAAAGCTACCAGCATGAGTTTGATCAAACTGCGGGAGGCAGTGGAAGACAGGAGTGCCTGGCGTGCTCTGGTCCATGGGGTCACGAAGAGTCGGACACGACTAAACGACTAAACAACAACAACAATTCCCATCATCCCTAGGTAGCAGGACCAATGGTCAGGGATGATGGGAATTGTAGTCCAAGAACCCTAAGTTTGGGAAACCTTGATCTAGTCCAACCCCCTGCAATGCAGGAATCTTTTTGTCCAACATGGGGCTCAAACCCATGACCCTGAGGTTAAGAGTCTCATGATCTATCAACTGAGCTATCTGTTGATGAGATCCTTTCCCACTGTGGGTTTTCAGTAAAAGACGTAAATATGTGGCTGTGGCACACTGCTTGGGCCTTTCCGTTGTTTAGGAAAGACTCACATGATTCCACCATTCACATACTGCTCCCAGCAGCGCAGAATAACATTACAGAAGAGTGGCTCCTATGTGGCTATGGGCACAAGACACCTGGGTCTTCTCATAACAAAACAACTTGCCACTAACGCTGGACTGCCACTGTAATTTCCCTAGCTGACATGCCCCTCCTCACAAGCAAATGAGAGGAACTCAGTCAATAGAGCATGAGACTCTTAATCTCAGGGTCCGAGTCCTGCATTCGGCAAAATATCCCTGCATTGCAGGGAGTTGGACTAGATGGCCCTTGTGGTCCCTTCCAGCTCTGCTATTCTATGTTCCAGAATCATAATGAACTCAGCACAGTGGATGGTCAGATTGCAAGCACTGAAGCCCTAAGCCTATATAGGTTGAGCAGGCAGTTTTCCTGTCTGAAGCCCTCCGTTCAATCCTGTCATTGCAATAAACTACTTTCCAGTAGCAGTTTGAATCATCTCCAACTGAAGGTTATGGACAGATTCTACGATTTGATTGGTTTAAAGATTTATATGCCGCCACGATGCCAAATGGCATTCAAGGCTGCAGGACAAAATTCTACTGAAAAATGAAGCCATCCAGCATATAAACACAGAACCATACAAAAATGATAGAGAAGGTTATCTATTTCCACCCTGCCATGGTCAGACATTCCGGCAAGGGAGGAGTAGTTGATTGAATCAGTTCCTATGCCACCTCCAAAGAATGAGTTTCTCAGGGTAGCTGAAGAGGCAGTTGGCCGATTGGCCCAGTAAACTGGAGGAAAAGGGAAAGTCAAGAGAATTGGGCCCATCATGATTGTCTGCACTCTCACAAACAGCCCCAGCAGCCGCACCAACATGGCAGAAGCACTTGTTTGCAAGTTCGGTCTTCTCACTTAGATCAAGAATGGTGTAGGGGCACATCAGGTGTTGGGACAATGTCTTTGCTCATGCCTAGCTCTGCATCCTATAACTTTGCAAATGGATCTTTGAGCAGTACATCTTGTATTCTGAGCTAATGCTGAGACTCTGTGCTGACTTATGGAATAATGCTTTTGGGTTTCCTGGAGCCAAGAGTCTCAAGTATTGTGTCCGAGGGTGAAAGCCAAGGCACTTATATTTCTTAATTAGTTTCAGTCACTGCTTTATCAGCTTGTATATTTTGTAACTGTTGTTTGTTTCAGGACATTCTGGAAACCAATCTGAAATCACTGTAATAAGTGATGAAGGGCAGTCTACAAACCTAGGTGACAAATACAATAAATATATGTGTGCACATATTCCCTGACACACACACACACACACACACACACACACACACACCGGGAATTAAAACGTTAACGCATAGTTATTTTTTTGTCAAAGGAAAAATAACAATTCTAGGTCAGTCTCGGCCCTGTATACCGTGAAGGAGCATCTCTATACTAATCATTCAGCCTGGACATTGTAGTCCAGCATCCAGGGCCTTCTGGTGTTTCCCTCACTGTGAGGTTACAAGGAACCAGGCAGAGGGCCTTCTTGGGAGTGGCGCCTGCCCTGTGGAACACCCTCCCATCAGATGTCAAGGAAATAAACAACTATTTGACTTTTAGAAGACATCTGAAGGCAACCCCATATAGGGAAATGTTTAATGTTTGATGCCTTATTGTGTTTTTAATATTTTGTTGGGAGTTGCCCAGAGTGGCTGCGGCAACCCAGTCAGATGGGAAGCATATAAATAATAACATTCTTATTCTCATTCATTGAGAGTAATAAATTTGCATGCAAACCTTGTCAAACACTTAAAAAATAATGATGCTGATGATGCTTTTAGGTGCAGGTGGACTGAACACCTCTGAGAATGCAAAGCAAAAGATAACTACCAAAAACCCTAATCATCCATTTGGCTTAAA